AGTGTAATACCCCTACTTTAAAAAGGGATAAAATTGGAATTTAAGTGTTATTTTATGCGCATTTTTTTTATTTTTTTTATTAATTTTATGATTAAGTGCTTATGTGGCAAATTGTTTATTTGTGTGAATTAATTGATTTATTTGCGTTTATTATTTTGGTTTAATTGCCTTAGTTGAATTATTTAACATTATTTGCATTAATTGACTTAATTGGATAATTTGATTTAATTGATTTATTATTGTTTTATTAAATGGAATTTAATTGTAGGTTTTTGTTATGGGCCAACTCGGATTAAGTTTAGGGCTCTATCTCAATGTGACAAGGATTAGGGTTTTAGTATTTAGTTTATAAATACACCATTATACGTTAAGCTAGGGTTTTACGATATATCACATAGCATATACACGTAGAGGGTTCTACAAAACACAGAGAGATACAGAGTAAGGTTTGAGAGAACAGAGCAAATTGTGAGTTCTCGACTGAGGTTCCAAGGCCAAACCTAGGAAAAGGAAAGGATAGAGGTAATAGGAGGCTAGACAGTGTTGCAGTGGTCACCAGAAAGTCTAGGAGGAAGACGACATTGAAAGGTTTCAAATCGGAACCGAAAGGCAAGTTCTATCTTCCTCTTTCCCTTTGGGCCGTATTCTGTGCACCTAGATAATCTCTAGGGTTTAGCTAATCAGTAATTGGAACTTACGTGTTTATATATATATTTCATTGATGATATGTTTGCCTTAAAACAAATCTGTTACAAAGGATGTAACACTGGTTCCAGTTTTCTGCCTTTTAAGCATGTTGTAACTTTAATTTTTGTAGTTAATTTAAACTACTGTAAACAAAGTATAAGAATGCTACTGGGGTATATAAAACTCATAGGGATGCTATTATTCTATTTTAATTACTTGTTGCAATCCGTTCTGTTTCAATTTGCACATGGTTCCAGTGTTCATACTAACAGCATGTTAAGTTGGGTAGCAAACTTAAGCTTTGTAATTGATTTAAATTGCTATAATCAAACCTTGGGGATGCTATCAGGAGGGTATTAGATCCTTTAGATCAGTTTAAGAAACAAGCAGAGGGGTAGGAATTGATCGGAGAAGGAGCAGATTGACGGAAACGGAGCAGAGATGAACTGGAGGCTCTCAAGAGGGAGAGAGCCGGCTCTAGAAAGTCAAGAGCCGGCTCCCCTTCAGCAAGAGCCAGCTCCTAGGGAATTGGAGCTGGCTCCAATAGGGGAAGAGCCGGCTCTTCCATTCCAAGAGCTGGCTCCAATTTGTTTTACGTCCAGAAAGTGTTTTCTAGGGCTTTGTTTGGTGTTTTGAGCACTGTTTGAGCTTCTAAGTGATTCTAATGAACTGTAGGGACTTAACAGAGGATCTAAGTAGTTAATTCTAAGTGTTATTAAACTTATTGTTGCATAGTTTAAGTCTCTAAGACAAAGGATGTAGCAGTGTAAAAATATACAACGGTGTATGCTACTAACAGAAGAAAGGAACTAAATGGCTTGATTAAATTTTAGAAATTTAATGAGACTTCACGGAGGGATTAAATAGTTAATTTTTGGGTGTTATTAAGACCCTAAATTAATTTAAGGTTAATTCTAAATTAACGGATCAAACTGTATAACACTTATGTACATTGTATACGGTTAGTAGATAGATGGAGTTTTAAATACTTAAGCTTATTTTTAGGCATTCCAGTGGTATTTAATATATTTATAAAATGGTTTTAAATATATTATAGGGTCACTGATGTGTTAGATGTGATCTATGCAGGCTCTGGATGTTAGTGGTTGAATTATGAAATCATTCCTTACAACTATATGGTTTAAATGCTTGGATTTAATTGCAAATACTTGGATATTGGTTTTGGATTATAAATCGCTAAACGATTATATATATATGTGGAATTTTAATTGCTGAATTAATAGATTCTGTCAATTACATGGTTGTGGAGGATGGTATGAACCGGTATGGGACGGTGTCATACTAGGGATGGTTTAGCTCAAAACGCATAAACCTAACCTATTGGATTTAAGGGAAGGATTGTAAAATATTGAATCCTAAACCTTGTTTAGTCAGATCGACTGAATAAGTTGAAAGACTATCTGGATTAATTGTGTTTGTGTGTAGTCGGATCGACTGATTAAGTTGAATGACTACCTAGATTAAATGTTGGTTGTATTTAAGTCAGATCGACTGATTAAGTTAAATGACTAAACTGGATTAAAATTCTTATGTCAATTCAATAAACAATAAAATGGCATACCTTGGGTTAGACAGATTTTATATATATGTTATGGCACCACGATATGGGCATGAGTCTCAGAGTCGTTGGTTAGGGAGCGTATATGCATTGGGATGCATAGCTGGATATGATGGTTGAGGTGTACCCTGTTAGGTTTAGGTATTCATGCCCACCTTTGGGTGCGTTTTTGCATGTTGCCTTTTACTCAGGTTGAGACCCCATTATAGTCCAGTGAAGGTCCTCTAGTGTGGATATATTTATGTATGGACTAGATAGATATTGTGAGGTATTTAGGTGTATCTACGTATCGGGTCACTGTATGAATTGCAGTTAGATTAGAACTTGCTCGTGGGCCTGACCCACCATTCTATTATTTTTTTTACAGATGTTCGTTAGCTCCAGTCATAGAGCTGGATCGTGCTGAGCAGATACAGTTATTCACTCCACCGTTGGCATAGGATTGTATTTCATGTGGTAGAATTGAGTTTTATTTCCAGTTCTTTTGAATACAGTTGGGATTTGAATAGGGGTCCACTAGATGGATTCCCAAGTTGTATATGGAGGATTAGTTGTATCATAAAGGTTGTTTATTAATGAAATTTTATTTTGGGATTTCATTCAATGGATTATCATTTTAGTTTTCTATTCAGCAAATTTTATTTATTCTTATTTACTTTAAAATTGTACTCTGTGTTCGTTAATTGCTAATTTGTTTGATATCCTCAGGTAATCGGGCGTGGGCCTAGCCAACCCGCATCCGGAAATCCGGGGGTATCACATAAAGATACACTTTAGCAGTTCGTGGAGCATATCCAACGGTTTAAGCAAGAAGATGCGATGAGGGCGTCGTGAGTTTAGGTGGGAGAGAATGTCACGCCTTGTAACCAAAAGGTTACACCATGCAAGCGCCACGCAGAAGCCCAGCAGAAGATGATATGGCAGCCTGCATGGACCGAGAGCTTTCTAGACTTCTCTACACAAGTATTGAACTTTCCAGAATTCTCTAGAATAGTGTGGAGTTGTCTAGTCTCTTCTGGGCTTGTCTAGAGTTGTATAGAATTCTCTAGAATTCTTTAGACTTGTCTTGTACATTGTAGATAGTTCTAGAATTGTATAGATACCTCTTTAGAGTATTCTAGACACTTATTCTAGGTCACACATTTGTATATATCTAGAATGTTCTTGTAAGGGCCAAAGGCCTATAAATAGAAGGTGGAGTTCATTTGCTCCTCACCAAGCAAACAAGTTGTAATATCCTCTCAAATAATACAAGTGTTCATACTTTCACCCAAGCTCTCTTGTTCACTTGCCTAGCTCTCTTCCTACACACACATTTGCAAGCAAAGCACTTGTCTAGCCTTAATCTTCACTAATCTAGCACACTCGGGTAAGTTGACTTAGCACTTAAAGGGGGTTTGAACGTGTCTAAGGCTGCACGTGAGCTTGAAAAGGTCCAAGTCCGTGACGTTAAGGACACTTTACATGTTTTGAAACAAAAACAACATGTTGAAACCAAGTTAAGTGTTACAACTTCATAAGTGAAAAGTAAGTATGTTAACATTTGCATGTAAATGAAACTACAAAATTGACATTGATATAACCAAGATATCCTAGGGATGTTGTGAAACAAGGTGCAAATTTGGACCTGAAGACGACACTACTGTCTATCCAGCAGATGAAGTAGATAAGATCAAAAGATAAAGTTACCCTAGATAGAAACCAATCGGTTAGATTTCTCGGCTTGAGAATCATTTTCCTTCTCTGTATGGTTCTTTCTCTATAGTTGCGCAGATGGACGACTTGTAATTGTTTGTTTATATAGACGTGTCAGCTTTCACTTCTTGATTTCATGTGTGCATAAATAAGTTGCTGGAAAAGACTTTAGCTATTTCTCTTGGATGTATATAATGTCCTCTCTAAATTCAAGTATAAATTTACCTCTTGCATATAAAAGCTTTCTTGTTCAGCCGTGTTGGAAAAGTTTGGAGAATATTCTATATATATATATGTGTGTGTGTGTGTGTGTATGTATATAGAGAGATTTTATAATTTATACATATTCATATGAAGCATGTGAAGCCCCCAATGGATTAGGTTGCCACTGCTTTAACCTTTTTCAATACAAAACGCAACGTCTATGTATGTGTTTCCCATGCATTGATGACCAGCTTAGCCCCATCATAGCTCTCTTTTTGGAGTTTATATTACTTTCCTCATGAGACATGACTTTCCTTGGACATGAATAAGACAGTAATGAAGGAAAAAGGGGAAAAAAAAGGATGTCGTTTTTTCCCCATTGATCAACCATGTAGCATAAGAATGAATTGATCTCAGCCGTCCACTCAGTTTGATTACTATTGTTATTTTGATATCTTCATGAGTTGGAGGGTTTCTAGTTCCGCAGGTACAGTGGGTGTGCGAATGTATTTCTTGTCCGATAAAAATAAGAAAATATGAAGTTAAAACTTAAAAGGCTCTATTTGTGATCCTCTCATTAATCATATCTACGTGCTTTGCTTATATTTTATGTTTGTCCTAATTTTATATAAGTAAACGACCAAGACAATTACAGGTCCTTCTGGTTTTGGTAGGCTAGCCTAAAAGGCATTTTCAATCTCAACTAATTCACGTGTATGGTCATCAAATAACTACTTCTTGGACAAGTACGTCTGCAAGTCACAGGCGGCTTTATTAGCCGACCTCTAACGCATGCATATGTGTGTATTATGTGTGTATATATAATATATATACATATAGGTCTCCTAAGCATTTCTTGTATACATTTCACATTACCCCTGTGCATGTCACAAGTCCTGCACTTGGCATTGCTTCAATTTGCCCAGAAGGAATGGCATTGGAGATGTCAATGGAAGATACGGCTATGAAGGTAGTTGTTTTTGTGCTTGTTCAAGCTCTGGTTTATTTAATCCTCTCCAATTCATCGGACATTTTCTCGAAGAAGAAGAAGAAGAGATCGCTTAGTTTCAAACCTGCTCGTTATGGTAGCATTTGCCGGATTTTGGCTGCAATCTCCGACATCCCACAGAGCGGTGAGGCATTGCCTTCATCGCGGAGTTTACAATCACCAACCCAGAAGTTCCACACCACCGAGGATTGTATGTAGATTGCAGATCCTATTGTGTATTATGCTTATTGTATTCAGAAATATTACTCTGTATTCTTTTATTTTATATTCAACATAGCAAATTAACAAATAAAATTTCACTACTCAAGATTCATTTACTATATATCTGTTATTATTATAGAAAACATATAGTAAAAAAATTTAGAAAATGTAAATATGAATGCTAATAAGTTCTTAGAATTGCAATGGAATTTAAATAACAATAGAAAAAAGAATAAGAATAAAGAAAAATGTTATTGCATATACATCATATAGAAGTGCAATAAAAAAAAATAATAAGAAGAAGAAGGAAAAAAAAAGGAAAATATAAAAAATGAAAGAACTTGAAGAGAAAAATTAGGGTTTTACTGAAGAAAATGAATGCGATATATATATATATATATATATATATATATATATATATATATATATATATTTGAATGGATCAAAGAAAATTGAAAAAGCAAAACAGTAAAAAAATTGAAACAGAAAGAATTAGAGAGATTTTTAAAAATGGAGAATTTCATGGAGAGAGTTTTAAAAATGAAGAATTTTATAAGGACATTTTGTAAAATTTTAAAAAATTGCATATACCGCTAAGGAATATATAACACGCTCATATAAAAATTTAGAAGAGTAACATTGGGTCCAAAGGACAAATTTAGAAACATAAATTTTTAATTTTTTTTTTTTTGAAAGGTTAGAAACAGATAATTTTAGGAGGGAATTTTATAAAAAATTAAAAAATTACACATACTAAAACAAAAATGCGTGTATATATATATATAGAGGAGCGACCATTGTATAGGGCATTCCATCATTTTGCTTCAACCTCATTTTAGTCAGCAAACTTACCTCATCTTTGCCTTGTTCAATTATTTTTTCTCATGATTCTTGCCTTCTAATTACATGACCTTTCAATGGAGATGACAATTGGAGTGGCTAAAGAGTGTGAAGGGCTGTATTATTTTGAGCCCCTATCTAGTCAAAATAACGTGGTTGTCTTTGATACTTGGCATTGGCGATTAGGTCACATTTCAATAAAACGTTTGAATTTTTTATCCACCATAGTTGATAATATTATTTCTAATCCTAATTGTCATTGTGATATATGCCCACGTGCAAACCAGATTGCCATTTGCCACAAACACAATAACCTCAAGTGCACCTTTTGAGCTAATCCATTGTGATTTTGGGGGATGATTTTTCTAGATGCAGGTGGATATCAATTTGATCCACTGAGCATGAAAACCCAATTTTTGTAATATTTGGAGCAAGAATGGCCACTTAATGCCGTCGTAAGCTTGGCTCATACCTAGCTCAAGGGCCAAGAATGCTACTTTCCCCCTCTTTTTATTCTTTAGGTAATGAAGAATTTCTTGAGTGACCACATTGTTTTCCATATATGTCTACATGCAACAAAGGCACTCAGGGATTCATTGATGAGATAATCAATGATTTCCTTCAATTGTTTAGTCAAAACTTTGGAAATAATTTTGTAAGCAACATTACATAGGGCAATAGGGCGATAATGTGAGATCCATGTAGGTGAAGCAATTTTATGAATTAAAACAATATTTGTGTGATTTAAGTTAAAAAGGAGGTACCCTGAATGAAATAAGTTACGAAGAGCCCTAATCACCTTAATTTTTATAGTATTTCAAAACTTATGGTAAAAAAGTAAAGTCATATTATCTGAATTGTTCATGAACAATTCGATTCATTTGCAATCCTAATTCTAAACAATCCTATCAATGAAGTCTGGTTCAGGAGGTCTGAGAAGATGCAGTTCAGGAATAACAATGTTGAGTTGATGTGAGAATGCTCAAGTGGTTGAGTGAATATATGAGCTGACTTTTGTCGCGGTGATGATCCTAATGATTGTATAGTGCATATGCTCTTTTGCTCTTATAAAAATAAAAACAAACGTGCTCCATTGTTATGTCTTACTCTTCAGATTAATTCCACTTCATTTATACGAGTGGGGAGTATTATCATTCAACTTTATTTATATAAGTTAGTCCAAAAATTGAACTACTACTTATTTTTCTACTACAGAATAACTCATTAGAGGCCAAAAATTGTACTTTGTTATTTTTCTACAACAGAGTAACACGGCGTCTGTGTGTGTGTGTATTACTAATTGGGGAGCGATTTTTGGATGGACATGGATTTTTGTGAAGTTTTGCTTGTTGACCACTGCTAGAATTTTTTAACTACGGCCTCTCAGCTTGGACCGAAGGCCGACATTTCCGGACTCAAAATTTTGGGCCTAACATCATCTCTGTTTCCACCTCCCCAAGATAGCACTCCTCCATATCCATTATCCGATGTTTTTTCAATCTATTTCTCAGCAACTTTTATTTGGAGACACATTTCATTGATAGATCTACAAATTCAATACCCAGAAAATTTTTCCACTGTAGCACAAAAATGAGTTCATCCAAGACTCCGAGGAAATTACAGGTGGCCTCACCAGTCCCAGCAGACATTGATATTGCCAACTCTATTGAACCTTTCCACATCTCTGAGATTGCCAAAGAAGTCAATCTCAGCCCCAACCACTACGATCTATATGGCAAATACAAAGCCAAGGTGATATATATATATATATATATGTATGTATATGTATGTATATGGTTAATTTCATTTTTGGGTATCTGGGTATTGTAGGCCAAAGGATATATATATGTGTTTGTGCTTATGGTTTTATTTTTGTTTATCTTTATGGTGGTTTATAATTGAATTTTTAAATCGTGGCTTATGGGTATTGAAGGTGATGTTGTCAGTAGTAGATGAACTTCAAGGAAGTGGAGATGGGTACTATGTGGTGGTTGGAGGGATTAGTCCAACACCTCTCGGGGAAGGAAAGTCAACCACCACTGTTGGACTCTGTCAAGCTTTGGGAGCTTTTCTTGATAAAAAGGTAAATATATATATATATATCTGTGTTATTTTCATGTTTTCTTTTTGTATTTTATGTAAATTTCGATTTGCTTAATGCTGAGTTTTATTCCCTATTTTCCTGTAGCTCAGTTGTTCTTGATTATCATCACTAACTTTCTTTCCCTCCTCTCACCTACCGTCTGACATATTCTGAAACTTAAATGGGTTTCAATTTAATTTCAGTATTGTTCCAAGGAGTGTTTGTATTTATATGAATATAAGAGGGGAAAAAAAAATTAAATATCAAATCTCTTGATATTTGCGAATATATGATATTGAATAAAAGTTTTGGTGTTATATTTAACATAGAGGGCAAAGGTATTCGATTGCATATGAAGACAGCTGAAAAAGGTGTTTTGAAACAGAGTGAAGTTTTGGGAAATGTACAGAATCATCCAATTGAATAAAAGGTGAATTTCAAAGAGAGTGAGAAGACTTTCTTAATTCCATTTAAGCATGGGATGCTTTATGAGTAAACTTTATCACATTAGCCTTTAGGGAAAATGTCCGTTTATATAGGTTTTCCCTGAGCAAGCACACTGGTCTCTAGATGGGTTTATTGATTTTGGTTTCTCTTGACAAAGAAATGAAAACATTTTAGTGAAGTATGAAACCAGTCATATTCTGTTTATTTGTTTGAATTGCATTGTTAAATATAATTTATATAACTAACAAGGCTAAACATCTATGTAGACCATGGGTTTTTCTGAATTGTGTTGTCGGTACTGTTGCTTCCCAATTGCTTGAGTGGTACCTTTTTCTTTTAGATGTCAATCTCTCATATCGTTGTATCTTTTGGACAATGCTTAAATCTTGACATTTACACAACAATTCTCTTCTTGTACCTCAACTTCTAGGTGGGGCTCTTCTCTAGGTCACAAAACCAATTGGATTTCTTGGCCTTTTCGATATCTTATTGGATTTCAAGGTCCTGGAAAAAATTGGATTTGATTATGATACTGAGTTACTCATTCTCTTGGAGGAAGTGATGACTGTGATGTGCTCTTATATGAATGCCCTTTTAATCCTTAACAATTGTGCAATATCATCATAAATAATAGAACAAGTCCAAATTAAGTTGTAAACACAAAGAAGTTGTAACTTTTAATTACCCCAAGGAACTTCCATTTTAATAAATTCATGGATAAGCCATCATCTAATATCTTCCTGCATTTCCTTGGGTGATGGAGATCCACTTTAGACTCCAACGTAAAGAAGAAAGAGATCCCATTTCAGATTTCAAACCCTCACACTTAAAGCCAAAGAAGGATAACCTTTAATGAAGCCCATTACAGCACACCCAAAAAAATAAAAAGATAGTATACCTTCTGAAAAAAAAAGAGGATAACCTTTAATGGAAAGATCCACTAGATAATGAACTATTGGTTCTAAACCAGCTGGGGGGATTAATCAACAATTTGAAGTGCTTTTCTTCCATATTATTGATAAACCAGCATTTATATATAGATGTAGGAGGATTTGTTTGGGAAGTAAGAAGGGTTCAGATATGTTTTTCAATGTGAACTGAAAAGTCAATTTTAAAAAAGAAAATCCGAAATATCTTATTTAGACATTTTTCACTTATTGGAAAATTTGTGCTAAAAAAAGGCTGAATTCAGAAGTTGCTCAATGTTTGAAAAGTGAGTTTCCAATTAATATAGGCTTACATTAATTGATCAACATTAAAACATATCTTTTCCCCTTAGTTGAATAAATTTACTCTATACATTCAGAATGTTCTGTTTTTTTTTTTTTTTTTTTTTTTTTTTTTTTTTTTTTTTTTTCGTGACTAGTATACATTCAGAATGTTCTGTGCTCTTTACTGAAAATTATTTCAATTGATGAAAACACATCATGTTTTATTTGGATTATGAGAATATGAGTCTATGTACTAGCAAATTCCTATTAAAAACTTAGGTTATAGTGTGTGCCAAAGTGTCATAAGTCGTTCGTCCATAACCATAAGATGATGGATATGAAGATCAGCTAAGAACATGGTGCAATTTTCTCAAGACTCAATTACATATCTAGAAATCATAGAGACCATACTTGACCTATTTTTTATCTTAAATTCGTTGAATTTTATTTTTTTATTTATTTATTTTTTTAAATTGGGATTTTGAATCAAAGTTTTCTCAATGGTTTTTGAAGTTGGATTTCTCAAAAAACAGTATCCATCAATGAAGGTCGATCGATTGGGGGAACTCCAATATCCCTCAACTGATTGCTGGATAGATAGATGGTTCCTGGGAAAAATGTTTTTTAATACCAGAATACCTCAATCGATCAAAGCTAGTGCAGACTGTAATCAGTCAAAGGCTCACATCAATCGAATCTTGAGGATGATTTTTTATTTTATTTTTATAAGTAAGATTTCATTAAGGAAATCTTGCAGAATTTTATTGTTGAAAACTCTGTCAGATTGGACTTTCAAAAGGATTTTACTAACCATACTACATGGGTTTCCTATATCGTCTGTAATATGGGGTTATAGTTACTCTATGATATCTCTCATAGGGACTTTCAACTCTTTACATATTATTGTGGAAATTTATATGTTTTGAAGAGAGAAAATTTTGAGAATCAATTTAGGGTTCTTCATATTTTTCCATGCTACATATGATTGAGAGAATCAAAGCAAGGAGCTAAATTGAAACTACCAGACATAGCATTAACCAAGTAGATCATAAAGAAGAAGATGAATGGACGTCACTAGTTGTGGCGATCAGAAGTTTATGGAGAAGCAGGTTGTGTGAGGAAAGAGTCTATCGATGGATCAGCAGTTGGATGGTTCTAGAGAGATCTTGCGTAAGTCTGAGTTGGGAGGGACTAGGTTATTCTGGGGTGATTCTGATAACGTAGATGTAACCTCTTTCTTGTGTAGTAGATTTTAATCTGCTTGGACTAGGTCTCAAGGTTTTTTCCTATATAGGGTTTTCACATAAAAAAAACTTGGGGCTCTGCTTTATTTTGTTTATTGCTTTATATAAGTTTATGTGGTTGCAATTGAGACATGTGATACCAAAGGGCCTCTAGCCCAATGGTATAACCTCCCCATCCTCAAAGAGGAGGAAAGGGATTTGAGCCCGGGTGTGGGCAAAATGGTGTGTGTTTGCTTTACCTTTAGAAAAAAATAAAATAAAAATGAGGCCTAATCAAACCCTCTAGATCTAAGTAACACGTATCAAAACATTGGGCAATGATCCACAGGTTTCACAATTGGTATCAGAGCATATCAATTGTGGAATTTTCATGTTTAAATGCTAAATTTGAGGTTTTGAAAGAAGCTTTTGAATCAAAATGGTTTAAGATAAATTTGACAAAATTTGAACACGTGAATTGTAATTTTAGAAAAATTATGTAAGAAATGGGGACGTAGTGAAGATCAAAGGTCTAGAGAAACAAAAGAGTTAATAATTTAATTAGGCTGGCTTCATTATTTTTAGAGAGGAAGAGCTTGGAGATAATGTTGCTCTTAGTATTAAGTTGGACTGAGTGGAGGAGTTTTTTTCATGTATTATGTGATTAAGGTACACCAATAGTTGATAGGAAACTTATGTTAGACCATTCTCTACTAGACAATTTAGTGATTAGAAAATATAGTCATAAAATAAACATGCTTGAAATAGGATGTTGGGATAGATAGGGTGGTAGAGACAAGAAAATGTAAAATTAAAATGAGCACATCGTAAGACAATGGAAGTAGCACATGTTGGAGATGAGAGAAACAGACTAAGTTGCTTGGATCATGTGCAATAAATATAACTAATTGTGCTGCTGAGGGAAGAGCGACATCATCCACATTGGGATGATGGTAGGGAAAGAGGTAATCAGAATTAACCTGGATTGTGATGGTAAGAAGAATGATAGCATCAGGTTTAACTGAATTTATGGCACTTAAGAGAAGAATTGCTAAAAATAAGAATCTTGTAACCGATCCCAAATAGTTAGAACAGAACTTTAATGAGTTGAGTTACATGGGTTTGTAATTTCAATAAAATTCAGGGTCGGTTTATGAGAATTAAAAAGCTTCGAGAGGCTTGATTGATTCTTGGAGAGGGTGTAATGTGGGATCCCGTACCCGTGATTTTTGGAGGGTGGCGCCCTTATGTGTTTGGTGGTGCCTTTGGAGGGAACGGAATAGAAGATTCTTTGATGGAGATGAATTTTCTATTGGGGCTTTAAAGTTTCTTATTATTAGCTCTATTTTTTGTTGGGTTGTGGGGAGAAATTGTAAATCCTTAGTGGAGATAGTTGATTTTTTGGGTTCCTTGGGCCCTTAGGGTCCCTCTTGGCCTGGCCTTTGTGTAGTTTTTGGGTTGCGTTCCCCTCTTTGATCGCTTTCTGATATATTCTTACTTACCCCAAAAAAAAAATTTGGTGGAAAATGTAATTTTTGTACTTGACTGTTTGATATTCGTCATAGCAATGTTCATATGCTTAAACAAGAAGAGAAAGGATGCAGTCAAGTGGCCTACTTTCGCAATGTTTGCACAAAGTGTTTGTCATCAGACTCTAACAAACATTTCTCCACCTGACTGAGATTTTACCATTGCACCAAGCAATGGCTGCTTATTCTGAGCTTAACTTCGTCAGAGCACTGTTCATGGATCATTTTACTGTTGTTTTACCGCAACAGCTTTCGTAGATAATTAATAATTCCTGGTGTTATTCTGCACCATCTCTTCCTTCTTTCTATATGTACTTGAAGTTCCAAAATAAACTTGTTTATCTCTCTCTCTGTCTGTCTCTCTCTTCCCGATCACAAGGGTACTTGATCTCCCAATCAATTACTCTGTCTTACTTACTGCTGCAACATCGTCATCTTCAAGAATGTGTGAAGGCTAGCCACCCAAGCAAGTGATTGAGCCATTTGCCTGTTGATTTTCCAACTGCAAAATTATCTTACAAATATATGGTCGCCACTCGCCTGTGGGGCTTACTCATTCATCTGGTTGAGAAGTCTCCCTGGATCTGTCT